ACATTAGGTGGGAATTATAAAATGGCAAACTATTAAATATAGCCCTCCCATCCCTGAGGAATACTTTATATTTTTCAGGTGTCAAATATTTTATTCAATTGCATATATTATTACATATATTAATCACATGTTATTTTATTTGACCTGCATACTTTGAAAATGACAGGACAGGTATTATTATTCCTATTTTATAAGTTTGGAAGGTAAAGCTCAAATAAAGAGAAATATTTGCCCAAGTTCACAGTTACTATGTGAGAAAACCAATATTATTTTAACTCTTATCTATTTTAGAGACTCTTTTACAATTTTAAAATAGAGTTTAGCCTCTGAAGTGACATATTACCTTTTTCCTAAGTTCCTTCATGCTTGTATTCAACTTTTGTTTATATGCGGTTAGAGTTTTAGTGTCCTGACAAGTTTTATGTTTTATATTTTTGAAATTTTTTCTTTGCTTTCCCTTTCTCTGCTTGCCTGCCTTTTTTTCTTCCTCTCTTTCTTTGTCTGTCCTTTCTCTATTTCCTTTTCTTAGATTGTTTCTTCACTCAACACTACTGAATATTAACCATTTCCCAAGCACAGTACAAAGCACTAGAAAAGAATAAAAGAGATCTATGCTTTCTTTACCCCTTTCATCATCTTCTTCCTACTTAACTTTACTAAAAGTTCTATATTTGAATAATGACCTGGTTCAGAATTTACTAAGATGATAATAATAAGAGAAACACAACACCTGTACAACACGCATTTACATATACACGCACAATCACAAGATTAGCTCACATTATTTTGTATGTATATCTGGTACTGTCCCTTTATGCAACTAAGATTATATCATCCAAATTTTATATAGAAGACTTATAACAAAGGTAAAGAAGGTTTTAGTGCCATAGGTGCCATGAAGGACACATGCACAAGATAAGAGGAGTGGGGCAAGGGTTCGATATGGGCATAAAAGGACGATATATAGTAACATATGTGTGTGTGTCTTGATAAACGCAAATCATTAGCTCATAGCTTCAAAGAAATTAGACATATCTACTGTTTATATCTATTAATAATAAAATAGTTTAGGTTGGAATTTATTGAGAATCTGCCTGCAAAAAACCCTGTGTTAAGTACTGAATCAAGCAATCCTAACATTAAATGTCTTAAGAAACCCATACTGAAGAATATCATTATGATAAAATTACCTAAAAATTACCTAGAAATTGAGGACATGAAATTCATCTTTATAAATAACTCGAACAATTACTTTGTGTCTGATCTTATGAACTATAGAGTAAAAGTGAGTTAGTAGTCCTTAGTCACCAAATAGAGTAATCCTCATGAATTAGTAAGTTTTCCTTGACATAGGCAGCTGATTATAATAATAATAATTAAAAAAAGGGAATCTTTTTAAAACAGAATCCATCAGGTAAGTACAGGACATTGAGCGTGAAAAACAAAACAAAAAATTAGAAGTCGGACTTCAAAATGGAAGGAATCCTAGAGATTGTATTCATAGATGCTATAATGTGTACTACAAAAACTATGACATATGTAAATATACATATATGTTCATAAAATCTTAAATGAAAATTGTACCCCAAAAGACAATTTTCATGGGAAAATACAATTAAAAAAATTTTTTGCATCTCTCCCAGAATCAAAAACCCTTTCATGCAGCATACCAGCTTAATCCTAAACTATGGCCAAAAGACATTAAACAGGTCTTAACTCAAAAATTTTATCTATAATGCCTCCTTCTGTGATGGTAGGACTTTGCCAAAACAACACACTAAGGCTAGTTTTTCTGCTAAGGTATCTTCAGGTCGAAGAATTGAAAAGAAAAAACATCCTGGGTCTATTATGCATTTTTTTCTATTTTTGGATAGATTACAATGATTCTGGAGCGCCCTATTGTCTTTCTTCTCATCTTTGTTTCTTTTCTGTTCTTTTGTCCCATTTCTTGAAGGTGGGAATGGATAGTCAATTGGAGTTAAGGATATAAAAAAATGTTAGCAGAAGGGTGAGAAAGGGAGTAAAATTCATCATTTCCATTCTTTTGACCTCTCCACTCCCCTATTTTAAAACAGCCCAAGTATTGAGAATGCCAGAGGTATGTTGGGAGCATTACAGTTACTATAATATAAAGGTTTTCAGTAAAGGAGCTTTATATTCCCCTTGAAATCCACTTGGCTTGGTGAGCTGATCAATGCATCTTGTGAGCAATATTTTGACAGCTTCTCTTAAATTAGAAGCTCTCTTTTGATCTTTTTTATTTTGTCACCTGTTGCCGTCATAAGCTTTTTTTTTTTTTTTTTTTTTTTTTTTTGGGTGGGGATTTTTAAAGATTTTGGTGATGGCAATTGTAAAGGAGATGTTGAGAAATGTTATCAAGTTCCTACGAAATGTTAGTTTTTGTATCATCAAAATTTCAGCTTTTGAAGTAGACGAGACCCTTTTAGTTTGGGATATGGCCTAGTAATTTAGTGCATGGTTTGGTAGACAGAGGAATGGATTAAGATCTAGATTCTATTCCTTGGGTTTCACTACACTCAGGGGGCATAGTTGCGTTATTAGAAACAATAGCCCCTTCCCTATCCCCAAGTAGGAGCAGTACTTGATTACTGATTTTATATCTTTTACATAAACATGCCTGACGTGCTTGTGTAGGGTTCTGCAGGTATGATAAAATGATCGGACCAAGTAATGGCATAACTTTAAGATCATACTTTTGGCATCAGAGAAAGAACTGGCAGTCGGGCCTCCAGATTCATGAGGGATTAGAATTCTTTCCATTACATACCAAATTTTCTTCTGGCTGTTCTTCACACCTGTGTGTGCAACAGAAGAGCCTTTGTTTCTGTGCTATCTGATCTGCTCTAATTTGTGATTATTAACATGAGGCCCCTACACGTCATAATCCCTCTCTGGGCCTCTGATACAATTGTTAGATGACACTAGGTCATGAGGAATAGAGGAGAGAGGAGTTCCCCGATGGGAGACTTTGTTCTTTTTTTCTCTCTCAGACAAGGTCTCAGGTGGTGGGCTCTAGCGATTCTTGAAGTACAACCGTTTGTATTATTTATATTGCACTGGAGATAAACGTCTTTCAAGTACTTCAGAGAAGAGCACACTGCTAGGGCTCAGTTGAGTTTTGTAATCCCAGTGACAGAGGCAGGTGGCAGGGGCGGAGGGTGTGGGAGGTGGAAGATGAAATGCTAACTGTGAATTTCGTGACTGTAGATATTGGGGACGGTTTTGGTTTAATTTTTTGCGTGTATTTTTGTGATATATATTATACAAAACATAAAAATTCATGAGTAACTTATTAATGTGATGCTTAAGAAAAAATACATATTGGCACATTTACCTTAAGTTTTTCTAATCTATAGAAAAATGAAACAGTTCTATTAATAGCCTATAGAATTACTGAGACTACTTACTGATCATTGCATTAATGATGAGGTCTTTGTTCCAGAAGTTCATTAACATTATTCAGATCTGGAAGAAATCATAAATTATCTTGAAAACTCTATGTAGTTAGGTGAGGTAATAGAGACCTAGGGACATTTAGTGACCTTGGGTCTCGTGAGTAATTAATGACAGAATCCATCTAGCATCTAGGTTCTTGGCTTTCCAGTCCAGTGCTCTTGTTTAAAAAGAATAAATGAGGAAGGAGAATCTGTGTCCAAAATTTGGTAGGCCTTGAATGATTTATGCAGTTTGGGTGACAATATCATGGAATGTAAAAAGATCAGGGACTTTAGATTCTGGCCAAAACAGGTTTGCTGCTTCTCACGTGTGACCTTGGGCAAGTGACCTCTCTGTTTGTTTATTTTCTTAATGCAAATGGTAAGAACTATTTTTGAGGGATATTGTGAAGATTTGTAATTATGTTCGTAAAGGACCAAATATAGTGCCTGGTGTATAGTTGTTTTGTAAACGTAACTACTGTTAAAATTTAGTATTTCTGCTATTAAACAAAAATAAAATCTGAAGACAGTATCTGCTTTATCAGTAGGCACTCAGATAAATTGTGTAGAGCAATGTCAAATGAATAAATGCTTTATCTCACCAGCCACAAAACAACTGTTTTTTCTGTGAGACAACACTTACCCTCACTTGTGAATTTGTATCCTATTTCATTTTGCTCAATCATGTATTTTGGCAAAAGCTAAAGTGTCTTTTATTATGAATACCATATTGAAAGTTAAGTTAGTATAACAGCTAGGACTAGACTTCATACATTTATAATTTATGAGAGACAGAAGGGAATGGAATTTATAGAATAGATGACCCCATTAAAACAGGTAGCTTTTCCTTCATTGAATGGTACTTACAGAGACCTGCTAATCCTATATCAAGATTGCTAGAGAATGAATTTCTGAATCTGGTTAGATCTGAGACTCTTAGGATCTCTGCAACCATAAAAGTCTGGATAGGGGTGTATCTAACCTATAGACAACCACAAAGCAGAGTGAAGCAGACAGAGTCATCTTCCTCAGTCATAGATGATATATCCTTCTCAGAAGTCAAGATATCAACATAGGTGGAGTCAGATATCAACATATTATTTTATGTAGAATTCAATCCAAACATTTTACTTTAAGTCAAGAATGCAATCTAATTTAAACTGTTTTGTACAACTGTTATGATTCTACTGGGGAAAAAATATGCTTAAAAAATAGAAATAAATTCTGTTTAAATATTTGAGATTATTACATTATGTCAAACTAACTTAGCTTGATTCAATTCCTGACAGACAGTTGATTAACTATTTTATATAAGGACTTGTCAAATTATAATGCCGTTTCATATTTAGTATTCACATATTATGCAATTACATAATAGTGAAGTTTAAGCCCATAAGTACCATAAACATTCATGACCGATTAAGGGTTCGCCTCCGTGGTTTGGAACTTAAGTCAAATCGTTGAATTTTCTTGATCAACTAAAGTCACGTGGAGAAACAGAAGTATGTGCTTATGAATCTAACATCCTTTTTGTTTTTTCAGCTGCGGTATTGAAGTATGAGAACAATGTCATGAACATCAGGCAATTCAACTGTTCTCCTCATCCATACTGGCTTCCAAATTTCATGGATGTTTTCACTTGGTCCCTGCCATTTGTTGGGGAAAAAGGTGTGTTGTAGAATTCTGAGATGTCCTTAATAAAATAGTAGAGGAAAGAGATGTGGGCAATTCTAGTGTGAAACACACAGAAAGAGAAACACTGTGGCCTAACGTTAGCAACAAAACTCACAAGCTGCACCACCAGATGTGATTTGAAAGTGTGTCAGTGAGTATCCTATTAACAAATACAATAAATGAATGAAGGGGCAACAAAAGAAAGGAGGACTATTAGAAGAATAGTCTTATCTCATTGGAATAATACAACTCAGAAATAAAAGAAATGTAGTTTTAACTGGCTGAAAACTATAATGATTATCTTTTTTCCTTACCTTTTTGTATTATAATTTAAAAATACTATTTTATTTTATAAGCTACCTGTCAAATTAAAAGGTTAGGATAACAATGCCTTCCTCACATTTCTAATGTTAAGAATAATCATTGTATGATAATGATTAGTGGCTACAATATTTTGAAGGATTACCTGTACAACAACAACAAAAAAATAGATTATTAAAAATACAGTGGCCATTAGTGTGTTACAGGGTGAGACAAATTTACTTTAAAAAGTTGTCTATTAACTTGCCCCAGTTTTCCAGAAAA